AAAGAAGGTTTTACATTTAGCGTTGGACTATTGTCTCACGGCTTTATCTTGTTAACTTGACAGACTTTGAAGCTGATGTGTCTGCAGCATCGTTACTTTGCGTTGATTCGTGCCTGAGAGGTGACTCAGTACTGTATTGTTTCCGTCACTGTACTGTCTGTGGTTTGCTGTAGCTAGTGTTGAACAAGTTCATGAACTTTGATCACAAAGAGGCGCGAATGTTCACAGCCGCCGCCCCGGTGTTTACGTCGAAAACAACGGCCAGAGCAGTTGTTCACTGTCTGAAAGCCCCTTCAATTATTAGCATTAGTAAAATGAAGGGCAGCAGGTAGATGGTGTGTGTGTGTGTGTGTGTGTGTGTGTGTGTATGGCAGCAAGACTTTCCCACTTTCACTATCAGTAACACCATTGTGTCTGTGTGCACCTGTGTGTGTGACAGGTGACAGATAGAGCAATAACAGACATATTTTCCCCTCCAGTTGGACAGAGTGACACATCACCTCGGAGACGATGATACATAGCGTGTGTGTGTGTGTGTGTTTTGTGCGCGCACTATAAGCCCTCTATACGTGCTGCGCGGTGTGTGTTGGTATCTGTAGATGTAAGAGTGAGATCTCGACATGAGCGAGGCTGAGAAGGAAGCAGATTGTGTGCCCGTATCGTTTTTTTCAGGAAGCTACGTTGTGGTATTTTGTGCCACGTGTTTGTGTGTGTGTGTGTGTGTGTTTGTGTGATGTACACTTGAGAGCTGACACACACACATATATCTGTGTGTGTGTGTGTGTGCGTCTGTAAGTGTGGTATGATGAAGATCCGCATACATTCTTATTTATTCTGACAGGGTGATGAATTCTGGGTATTGGGATTATAGTGACCCAGAGAGAGAGAGAAGCTGTGTGTGTGTGTGTGTGTGTGTGTGTGTGTGTTTGTGTGTATTGACACTACTTACTGCTGCTGGGTATTAAATCTCTGTCTGGTATAAACAGCTTGTATCCATAGTGTTTCTCCAAAACATCCGGCAAGATCTCCAAAGCAAACGTTTCCTCGTCGCTGCTCGTCCTGCTGAGAGAAGGAAAAACAAATATGGCTCCAAATTTAAAACCGCATCCGAAACAGTTTAATCAGCTTTGGTTTATTGGGTTTATTTGAGTTTTATGGGTTAGTATGTGACCGTGCTTCACTTAAAATTGACCTACATACGTGCACTGATCAGCCACAACATTATAACCACCGGTCTAATATTGTGTCAGTTCTCTCTGATGCTACTACAACAGCTCTGGCCTGTTTAGACATGAACTCCACAGACGTCTGAAGGTGTTCTGCGGCATCAGGTACCAAGATGTTAGCAGCAACCTTTAAGACTTAGAAGCTGTGAGGGGAAATCTCTTGTTTTTCCAGCACATCCCATAGATGCGCAACTGGACTGAGAACTGTGGACTGTGGAGGCCAAGTCAACACCTTGAACTCTTTGTCATGTTCCTCAAACCATTCCTGAACAATGCTTGCAGTGCGGTAGGAAGCATTCTTCTGCCGCCAAGGACAGGTACTGCTGCCATGAAGGGGTGTGCATGATGTGCAACGCTCTTTGGGTAGATGCTACATGTCAAAGTAACATCCACATGAAGGCAGGGCCCAAACTTTCCCAGCAGAACATCTTGTTGCTGTCTGTTCCCCAGATAAACACGTACCTGGCCGTCAAACATCATGCTAAAAAAAATGTACTTAATCAGACCTGGCCACCTTCTTCCATTGCTCCACGGTCCAGTTCTGACATTCACGTGCTTCTGGCATCATGGATCCAAAGTGTGGGCAATCGGACCAATCTGCAGCTACATATTCTATTCTAGCATCAAGGCAGTGTGTGATACAGTAGCTCTTCTTTGGGATCATTCATCCTTCACTCCCCATCTGCACCAATGAGTCTTTGGGTGTCCATGATGTGGTCTCTGCTTGTCCCTTCTTGGACCACTTTTGTTAGGTTCTAACCACCAGGAACATCCCACAAGACCTGTTGTTTTGGAGGCCCAGTTGTCTAACCCTTGGCTCTTGTCAAAGTCCCTTAGATCGTTATGTTCATCTATTTTAGCACAAAAAACACACTCAAACTTGTTCTATGGCACTTATCTAGATTTTTTTCTCCTGACTAGATCCTTGCTTGTGTTGTATCTGCTCTCAGATGTACGTCGCTTTGGATAAAAGCGTCTGCTAGATGAAATTGTAGCATTGTAGACTAATACTCCTGCCTCATCGATCAAGTTTTCAGGTTTTAATGTTGTGGCTGAGTT